AGGGCACTGTTCCTTTGAGTGAAAGGTGCGATTAGAGGAGAAACAGAAGCTACATTTGAAGAAAGAGCAGGTGTTATACTCATAGGATTGAGACCAACTAGTAGGTTCAAACTGCTTCATCATAGAATTGAAATTAGCTTCATAATTGGCCTAATGCAATTGGGGAATGCAATAGGTTTCAATTAAGGTCTTAGGATTGGAACAATTCACAGCATGCCTGATTTCCCCCTTCAAATCCCCAATGAACATCTCAATAGAAAACTCTTCGGAGCAAGAAACCCTAGCCCTTATTTTCTCAAATTCCCGTTGATACTTTAAGATTGTACCCATCTGTACTACATTCCTCCATTCTGCCATAGGTTTCATCTTAGAGGCTACCCTAAATCTAACACAAATGGTCATGCAAAATTCCTCCTAAGAAGGCCACTTGATTTTCCCTTTCATGTAGGCTTGCAACCATTGCAAAGCCTCCCCCTTCATATACATGCCAGCAATTTGAGACTTAAACCCTTCCCTAGTGTTGTTAATTTCAAAGAATTGTTCACTTTGGAAAAGCCATCCTTTCACACTATCAGTGCTATCAAAAACAGGGAAATCAACCTTCCCAAATTGAATCATAGATTCAAGAGGGTTATTACTGTGACTGCAACCAAGATTGGGGCCAAGATTTCTTACCATGGTATTGTCATTGCTTCCTCTTAGGATCCCATTGTTTATCCCCATCGCTAACATCATTGGGGTGTCACTATCGCCATGGGAGACCCCCACTCGGCCCATAACTTGCAACATCATCTTGGATAAATACTCAAATTGCTCTTTGCTTTCTTTTTGTATGGCCACCAACTGCTTGTCATTCTTCTTGAATTGCTCCTTAGTACGTCGCTGCAATTCGAGAAGATCCCTTCGGGTGTTTGAGATCAATCCCCTGATCTCAGCGTCGAATTTCGCTTGTTCTTGAGATCTGGTGTTACCCGCCATAGCCACAGGTCAGACGATCGAAGCTCTAATACCAAATGATATAACCCAGTCAACAATCCACAAATAATCAAGAGATAGAGATGAGAAAAGAATCGAGAAAGGAGGTGAGATGAGAAACAAAGTAGAAGGGATGAGAAGAGAAGAGAAAAACTGAAGATAAGAAAACTGTATTCACTTTCGAAAACCAATTCTGTTACAAGAATAAGCTTTATTGGAGCTCTTTGTACATACATCATATCTCATGCATCATCATCTACATACATCATCAACAACCGCCCACCTAAGCACACCCCCTGCCACATCAGCTGTCTTATTTCCAGTCCTGTAACAGCTGCCTAACTTGTGGGGCGATTTAGGTATTCTGCCATCGAAAAACCTCAAACAAGCAATAGGCGTTTCTCAAACCCCCAAAACCCCCCAAAACCCCTAGCTCATTTCTTATCCGTCTCACTTCTTCCTCGCCACTGGACTAAACCACACAATCGCCGTCGTCGTACCGGTCGGACCAAAACGGCAATGTCCACTAGCGTCGAGAGGAACGGCAGCAGAATTGGAATTTACGACGACTTCGTGAAAGTTCACGGTGTCCTATTAGCAGCGTCCGGCCTACCTCTGTCGCTGCACCGCAAACTGTTCCACAAGCTAACCTCGGAGACTTTCGACGGAGGGAATCACTTCGCGATCGAGCCCAGCGAAGATGGCCGTCAGCGGCGGCTTCTGTTAACGTCTGACTCCATGCCTAAGGAGTGCGATGTCTTCCTCATCGACCACGCCTGGTCTTTTCGCCTTCCCGACGCATATAACCAGGTTCTTCCTTAGTTCTTTTCTGCTTTTGCGGCATCATTTGATTCTTTTGAGGTTTGATTTTGTTGTGCCGCTTGGCGGCCCTTTGTTTGGTTGCAGCTGAAGGAAGTACCGGGCCTAGTCGAGAGGATGGCTGCCCTGATGTGTGTGGATATTGACATCGATTCCGATGACAAAGAGGAGGAAAACGATGAGAATTTGAGTATTGAAGAGGTTGTGGAGAATGCAATTCGAAATGCTAAAGAAAATGGAGATGGTACTGTGACATGGCTTGAACTGGAGGAGCTTGGGATTGATGATGAAAAACTGCTGTCACTAGACTTGTGTAGTAAATTTCCGGTATTTCATTGCGTTTTTATCTGTTCTTGAAATTGTAGCATATCAATGGAGGGTTGAGGATTAATTGATCTGCTCTAAACTTTTCTTTGAATGAGCATTTGAGAATGTTGTTTGTTTTTCAATGCTCAGGATTTAGTAGGGCTTAGCTTGTGTGGAAACAAACTAGAGAATGCAGAGGTGGTGGTGAGGGAAGTTACTAAACTCAAAAACCTAAGAGGCCTCTGGTTGAACAATAATCCAGTTCTTAAAAGATGGTATGTTTACTTGCTGACGTGCAAAAATTTCCTAATGATTAACTTTAGAGTTAGTCAGTTCCTGGTAAGAGATGACTAGTGTTCTGTTTACAATGATAGTAGCATGGAAGATGCAATTCTCCAAGGATGTTCAAAACTGGAAATATATAACTCTCATTTCACCCCAAAATATGGTCTATGGGCTTTGAGATTTTGTGGAGTTGTATGTGGGAAGCAAGATACTGGTAGCACAAAAGATGATGACAATCGTTTGAAAGGCGAGACCACCCTGGACCTTTCGAATAGATCTATTCAAAATTTCAACAATAAGGTGTGGTGATTATTCCTTTGAATCTTTTGTTATGTTCTTTATCAATTCAGATTTTGGGAATAATGTTATTACTCTTTTACTTAAACTTAGATTGGAAATTAATATTATGGTGTTTTTTTGGCCAAGAATATTGTGGCATGTTGAGTTCTGATTGTTTGTAGCTTTTCTTCTGTTGAGGCATTTGTACCAGATGAGATACCCATGCTTGCGCATTTGAATATTCGGGGAAATCCAATAGAACAAAATTCAGTTGATGAGTTGTTTCAAATCTTGAAATCATTTCCATGCTTGCAGTCTTTGGAGGTTTGTTCTTATTTTCCATTTGCAATACAGAAGCAATTGGCGCTGAAAGCCATTAACCATCTCAGACATGGGGAGTTTTAGATTGAATTGGCTTGTTTTGCAGGTGGATATACCTGGCCCCCTAGGAGAGAGTGCTGTTAAGATACTTGAATCCCTTCCCCATCTTTCCTCACTGAATGGTGTTGATGCATCAAAAATTTTAGAATCTGAAAAGCATGTTGTTGATTCAATGCTTGAGCTGCGACTTCCTGAATGGACTGCTGAGGAACCCCTTATTGATCGTGTTCTTAATGCAATGTGGTTATATTTAATGACGTATAGACTTGCAGATGAGGAAAAGATTGATGAAACCTCAATATGGTATGTATTGCACCTTTTGGCTGATTTATTGAGGGCTTTTATATTTTTGCCCTGCACGGGCAGGTAGTAGAATGAGTTACTTAACATTCCCCGCAAAGCCTTTTCAAATTCTTATGATTTTCTGTCTAGAATTGGATTTTTTGGGCCTGGTTGCTTAAAGCTGGATGAAATGTGAAGAAGGTTGAGCTATCATCAGTGTTTGTATATTTGTTTTACATGATTGGTATTAAATGGCACTACCTTGTACTCTTTACTGACACTTAATGCAAGATGAAACAAAAACAAGGAAGCTAAGAAGTTAGATATTTGTTTTATATAAATGATATTAAATGGAAGCACCTTGGTATTCTTTACAGGTATGTGATGGATGAGCTAGGTTCAGCTTTACGGCATAGTGATGAACCAAATTTCAGAGTGGCTCCTTTTCTCTACATGCCAGAGGGCAAATTGGCATCAGCAGTGAGGTTTTTGTTCTTCCTTCCTTCTGATGCGTCTTGAAG